CTGGCAGGGAGTGTGTGCCCGCGGCCTGCGGGGGCACCGGCAGGACTAGAGCCCTCATTGGGGCAGCAGGTCCCGCCCCCGCCTTGCGTCACCTTGGCCGCCTCGTGTGTGACCAGCAGGTGTGCGCACAGGCGCCAGGGCACGTGACAGAGAGAGGTCAGGAGTTAGGCTTTTCCACGGGCTGCCCTGTATTTAATTTAGGAAACAGAAGAGTTTAAACCCAGGCCTGTGTCAGGGTTACTTTCCTGCCTTGTCCACAGGTCACCTAGCGGCCTTGGACGAGGGCACGCGGGGGTGGGGACGGCCAGGTGCACCGTGGGACTACGGCGCCTCCGGGGATGCTGGAGTTGAGGCGGGATGGTCCCGTGTGCCCGGCCGCATTGGGCTTGAGCCTGTGCCCGGGCGCCATGAAAGGGACCACTTTCGGCTGGAGTGGCCGAGCCGATTTATGTTCTGGTCCTGGGGCCTGGAAGGGGGCAGGGGGTCCTCTTGCGTGAGGCTGGGGCACGGCAGTGTGGGCAGGAGGGGAGGCTTGTCCGAGAAGCTGTGAGAATTCCGCTGTCGTGGGGGCATGGACTGGGCGGAAGGACCAGTAGGGGGAGTGTCTGGGGGACCAAGCCCCAGGGCCCGAGTGCTGACTGAACGTGGGGGCCTGGGGATTGGGTGCAGGTGGTGTGGGTGCAGGTGCTGTGGAGGAGTGGCACCCGGGAGGGACCACTCGCCCCTCGGGATTCGGTGAGCAAGCTCCCAGCCTGAGCTTCCTGCACGGGCACTGTCCCTCTCCCCGCCCCAGCCCTGTGCCCAGACACCCAGTGCATCCTAGTGCTTGTCACCTCTGGTCTCCTGGCTCGGAGGACAGCGGTCGGGGCTGGGTGGGTGTCAGGACCTGGTCGTGATTATGGGTCTTTTGGCACCACGGGCACCTCGGCCAAGCACTCGGGCAGAGAAGAGGGTGGGAGATGGGCCAGGTGACCGTGGCCTGGCAGTGGGCAGGGGCCCCAGGCCTGGGGAGGCACAGTGAGGGGCCAGGAGCTGTCAGAGGAAGCCACCCACGCCAGGTGTCCCATCCGGGCTGCAGGTCCCACGTGAGCTGGGACAGAAAAGAATCCCTCAGGCCCTAACCAATTTGGCTCAGTGGATAGAGCGTCGGCCTGTGGACTGAAGGGTCCCGGGTTCGATTCCGGTCAAGGGCTTGTACCTTGGTTGCGGGCACATATCCTGTGGGGACTGTGCAGGAAGCAGCTGATCGATGTGTCTCTCTCATCGATGTTTCTAACTCTCTATCCCTCTCCCTTCCTCTCTGTAAAAAAATCAATAAAATATATATTTTTTATTTTATTTTATTTTTTTAATATATTTTATTGATTTTTTTCAGAGAGGAAGGGAGAGAGATAG